AGCATTGACCTCTGCTGTGGCAAACAACATTCCTCGTGGGTATAAGAAGATCTACGCACCCTAATGGTCGAAGGAGACAAAGGACCACTACAGCGACCCGGATACCGAGAAACCCCTGAAACTGCAGCTGCTCTCATCGACCTCTGAATTCATCAGAGCGGCAGAGACGATGGAGGGAGACTCCGGAAACACTGGACTTCACTTAGTCGAACCGTAAGGCATGGACACTATTTCACCACCTTGGCGCCGCGATACTACAAGGAAGAACTAGCTGCTCAATTCCTCCATAGGTCTGAGACACCGACAAACAAAGCCACTCATAGGGCAAGGCAGAAAGAATATTTCTTTTTATGTTAGCACTTCGTGAAACAGACCCTCTCTCCGCTCCATAAGCTCTAAAGGAAACAAATATGCACAGGCAGCCACGAAGCTGCTGGCACAAATTGGGTTTCATCCTGGAATTTCTTAAAATCTTGGATCCCCCCTCTTCACAGCAGACCACATAGTCAGACAAATTCGCTCTGCCTGACTGCATGCAAAGTCATCGCCTTCCTAAAGCCAGGAATACCTCTGAGAAAGACAGCTACTGGCTTATCTCCTTACTGTGTGCAACCACGCCGGGCTTTCGATCTGGGCGCAGTTACAGCGAGCAACTGCTTTCGCTTGCCAGCTTCATTGAGGCAAGATTTCAACGCAGAGAAAAAACAGTGTGTTTTGATCAACCTGCCATCGGCTCATGATATGGTCTGCCGCGAAGGCTCATTTGCAAAGTTTCTGCAGTGATAAGGTGTCAAAACAACCTTCATTTTATCGCAGCCATAATTAGCTACAGCCGGTACTGCCTTCACATCGATGGGCCAGTCAGCAAGGAAACGACCCTAAATAATGGGTTCCCACGGTGTGCAGTACATTTCCATTACTGTTTAAACATCTACAGCGTCGAAGAAGCTCATTTACTCCGATGATATCGAACATACCGTGCAGAAACTAAGCTGAATACTCACGGCTGACGTCGTTGTTTTTGACGAAATATTTTCATCAGTAAAAACTGCCCTTAAACCCGACGATGATCAGCGCGAGGATGTTTCACTTGGACAACGCCCTCGTCAGGAAAAAGCTCGAAATTGAGTTCTATGGTCAACGTGAGCTGTACGAAATGGCTGAAATTTATAAGTGTCAGCCTTAGTCAATCCCTCGCGTTCAAACCACACCTTAAAAAGACACAACAGAAGATCAAGATGAGGATAAATCTGCAACGAAAACTTGCAGGAATCCCAATGCTGCGTAGCACGGCACTGACATTCGTGTACGGTGCCGCGGAGTGTACTTCCCTGAGTGTAACTAGAGCTGTCACGCGAGAACGGCAAAGACGCAGCTCAGTGAAGCAATCGGAATCACAACTGGAACCCTGAAGCCAACCCGAACGATGTGGTTACCGCAGTGGTGATGCACAATTAACCCTCGTCCCGGTAGAATCGACCAAGCGTCTCGTGTGGGTTTTCCGGAAACTGATACAAATTGCTAGCCTCCCATATATCGTGTGTTTCAAGAGCTGTCAACAACGTTTGAAATCGCGCCACCTATCATAGGAACGACCAACAACGCCACGACTGAATCTCGTGGCCAGCAGAATTCCGTGCTACAATCGCCCATAACAAAGATCTTATCTTCGATCCGATCACAGAACCACATGACGTGAACGTGGCTCACCAGGAATGATCGAATTTCAACCGGATTCGAACTGGAAAGAGCGCTACGAGCATCACCTTTACCCCTGAAAGATGAAGTTCAACCCACAGTGTGACTGCGGCCATATAGATCAGTCGGTGAAGAACATCATTTCCAAATACCCACTGCGAAACGACAACATAACGGATATACAGAATGCTACCGTGGTAGCCATTCGTTGGCCTAGAAATCTGGACATCGAGCCATAAAGTTGCTAGTCATTCTATACTCAACCATATGACAGAAGAAAAAGCAAAAATAAAACCCTACTTAAATGTTTGCGACAGTAGTGGAAAAGGAACCAATCAGAAACCGTTTAAGCATGCATGCAGCGCTGCACCTGCAGTACTACAGTTGATCTTCTCAACCAAGGAGATGTCAAAAATGTTCAACAACTACGATTAAAAGTTTACCAACCTGACAGACCTGATGTACTACGCTGCATATCTTGCCAACCATCTAAAAGATTTTCACGAAGGTACTGACGAACAGACTTCAATAATAGGTGGATGCAGCAGAGCCAAAAAGCAGGTAAGTTTTAGAAGTGAATTTAGTAGAATGGATCGTTTTAGGTAGTACAACGAATATCAATTTCCTCTCCATCCGGAATTAGTCAATTTCAGGAAGGCATTCGACTCAGTCTGAATCCGTTCTGTACTGGATTCCTTGAGGAGCCGAGGGGTCGAAAAAAGATAGAGTGACGTCAAGTATGCAAATGTTAATCTGAAGCTTCATGAAAGCAAAGTCAAGTTCGGAATCGAAATGCGTCAGACATGGTGAAAAATATCACAAGTTTTTTACAGCAATCCTGGAAGTTTCCAGTTTATCCCATTCAGATAATCAGGGGCTAAAGAATAGACGGGCAATACTTAAGCCAGCTGAGGTCTGCAGGCGATATGTTGATAATGCATGGTCATCAAAGGTGATAAAAAGAAGAATTTAAGAGCTGAACAGCGCCAGCACCAAAACAGGGTTGAAATGAACGTGAAGAAGACTCAGGTCATGTTAAACAAGCGTGACCACGTGATCTCATTAAGTCAACGGACTTAGGCTTCAAGAAGTGAAAACCTACGTCTCTCTCAGAAATTACCTTTGCAACGAAGAACCGACTCTGCTAAATCAACAGAAGAATAAAAATGGCATCGGGCACTTTTGAAAGACTGAAAATGATTTTTACGCGGAAAACTACCCTGATACTTGAAACGAAATGTTTTCTTTTTCGGTCAATGTGTGAACCTAGTGCTAACCTATCGGTTCAAAACGTGGACCCTAAGGATGAGAGTCTTTCATAAACTGCAGACTACCCTATTCAGCACAGAAACATTGCCACCATCAGTCGATTTGCGAAGTCTGTTTTCGATACAATGAACCATGGTGTCCCGCCCCTTGGAATTTCTCTGCATGAGATACAGCATGTAGCCGGAGAGATAACTTCCAACAGGAACAGTGCTGCTGCTCTGTGAGCAAATTCATGAAGCCAGGGGATAAATGAATGATCTGCTAAGTAAAAGCGGAGACAGTGTATTTTGTCCAAGTTAGCAACAGGCCCACGCTCCAAATGACCAGTTCTGTACAGTACCACTTCATCATCATCATCTTCCATCGCCGTTTCTCCTTTCGGGTCGCGGAGGCAGACGCGTCAGACAGAGCTTCCAATGTTCCCGATCTTGTGCCAGAGTCTGAGCTTCGGCAGAAGACAACTGGAGTCTGGAACACACTCATTCTATATAATTGCACCAGATTAATTTTGGCCGTCCCCTGGCCTTCTGCCTGTCGGTCTCAGTCGTCCCCTGGGCCTTCTGCCGGTCGTACTTTGGTCGTCTCCTGGGCTTTCTGTCGATCGCTGTACCACTTGTACCTGCTAAATCTAGTCAAATTATCGGTATTATCATCAAACAATCACTCTGACGACGGCGTATTCACTAAAATTTATGTCAAGCTATCCCCTACAAAAATTATGGTTCACAATTCTATTACTGGTATTAAACCAAGACTTCGCAGTTTCTGAGCTGTGGCATCTAGCCTTCCGAGAACAATTTTCAATGAACCGTTACACTTGTATGGATCACTACAAAAAGACGGATCCAACATCTGAACTGCGCAAAAATGGAAATGCCCAGACGTGGCGTCACATAAATAATACTGTCATACAGGCCACGGTAGGGGTAGCTGGAGCAAAGGAAAAGCGTATCTAAAAAAGCAGGTTGCGTCGATTCGGTTCTGATATAGAAAGACTTGATGAGTACGTCGACAATGCAGGCAAAATATTGAAACTACAGGGGAGGAGAAAGTAGGAAGGACAACCTAAAGAAAAAATTGGAGGATGTAAATTCATGGAACTGTGCACTGACCGAAAACTTGAAGAGAAACTTGAAGAGAAACTTGAAGAAAGGATGCAGAAGAAATGGATTTCTATACAGGAACAGTTTCCAAGTGAATAAGCGAGGAAGAAGAAATAACTGCTGTACTCGTTTGATCAGCTTCGGCGTCTTTCTCGTCAGTGAACAGGTTCAGCTCGGCTTCAGTGATAAGATCTTTCGCCGAGGAAGGCAAAGTCGACGGCAACACCAGACGCTTCTCTGCTAGGAACAGTTCCAAGTTTTCTATCGCTTTATCCATATTGTCCTCTGACTGAGAGCCGGGTAACGAGGAGGTGATGCAGGCTTCTACATGGGAAGACCCAACGGGGTTGGGCACCAGTCGCTTGCGTCTGCGTGAGTCGTCTTCCCAGATGTCCAGTTTCCAGAACACCTGCTGTCTGAAACATACTTAATCGTAACGCACGGATGGCACTGTACAAATAACAGAAACGCGCAGCACCTCTTGTCCTGACTCCAGGCGCCGTGCTCACTGTATAAAATGTGAAGGATTTTTTCCAGCGTCCGTCGCGCGATTATCGAATCTCGTCTACGTGCGGCATTTATCAGCAAATCACACGTCGCCTCCTCGTCTTTGCTGCTGACCGCATTGCTGGCGCAAACTTTCTTAAGAAAATAACATAGAAAAATGAAATAAAACGAGATGTATGATATCGCTATAAAAAAAACGCTATTGGACGAACGAACCTCAAACTCTGCATGCCGAGAAACGTCTTCCGCTCGAAGACGGCTCAGAATAAATTCGGCTTCGTTCGCGACCCGAACAATATGGTCTCGGGTCGCATGAGCCAACAGCCGGCCTTCGTTAACCAGTTCGATGAATGCCAAGCCAGCGTGCTTCTGAAGCGAAGTCTGCCATTCCTGTGAGCACAGCAGCATCACCAGCTCAATGACATTACCGTTTACGTTGCGGAGGCAAGCCATCACTTAAGCAAAACAAGTCAGTTACAAAGAAAGAAGAAACGTTTGCAAAATCTGTAAAAAGCACGTATATGAAGAGCATTCCATAAATAAACGAAGAAAACAGTAGTGAAACCTTTGGCGTCATTCATGATCTCCTGGCCGTGTGTTCCAAGTAAGGTTTTCTGGAAGTAGGCCTGAAAGTCAGACATGACTTCTCGAAACAAGGGGGCTATAGGGTCCAACGCAGATTTGAGCCGGGAACTCAGCTGCTCTTGTCGTTCTCTAGGCACCATCAGATCAACGGCTTCGAGCTTCAGCTGATCTGTACCGTAGCTGTTCAGCGTGGTCGCATCGTTTCTGATCGTTTCCTGATCGACGGATATCGAAGATATCCCCTCATCTGGCGACTCCTGACCGCAGCCGTTGACCATTCGTGGCGTGTCGTTCAGAGATATATCTTCGAGAGCGGATGGTTCATTGGACTCATCGCACTGGTCGCCACCGCCATCAGGCACTTTCGACGTCTGTTCATTGCTGTCGGCCTGAGATGACCTGGCGAGGCTGGAAGTTGATCCGCTTCGTGTACTGTCAGTGCTACCATTCCTTTTGCCGCTCGAAGATTCTGAAGCGAAATATCATAGCAAAACCGAAAAAATTCTTTCACAATAACGAAGAAAGACGAACATCGGCATGATAAACGATCAAAACAATTAAGGTGAGTTCTGAACAGCCTATACACACCGAAGCTTGTTTATTTCAATACATCAAACTCTATATGCTGTGGAGGGGTCACATGAGCGAAGATCTGTAATAAACCACGAAATGATAAGTAGAAAAGCGACGGTATCAGATATGTCCCCTATTATCTCATTAATTACTTTCAGCAAAGCTAAGTTTCGTAAATTCTATATTACCAACATCTTCGATATTATTACAGTCATCATGATCATCAACATTCAGGGAACCGTATCCGACCTTCAGCGTAGAAAGATTTTTCTGTCAACACCGACGTATCACTTCGCTTTAAAAGAGGTCTGGGAGAAACAAACAGGAACTTAAGTACATTTTTATCACTTTGGTAAGCCTATTACGTAAAGCTAAATAACGTTAAATTAACGACGTCACAACTGACGTCATTATCGCGGCCAACGTTCAAAACATAAAATTAAGAATATTAATTAACCGATTAGAATATTATCAATTAAGTTCCACATACCCATGTAATTTTCGTGTTATTGCGACTTTGCATTTATGGTGCTTAGAACTGCTCAAATTTTCAATGACGGCACCAAAAGCAAGCACAAAGTATAAAAATCAAACGAAACAACTCTACCGGCTAACGTCGCAGTCGCCTCTACTCTAAGACCCGCTGAGTGGCTGTTGTAAAACGGCGACGGCGAATTTGGCGGCTCCAGGATGTCGCGATACCGAGAAACCATGAGAACGGAGAGAAAGTAGATAGTGGCTAGAGAGATGAACTGTGCCTGTCGAGACTCTTCGATATCGCGATAGATCGTCGCCTTCAGTCGATTTATGTCAATGTCCTGCAAAACACGTTCGGGGTCTTGTATGAGTGATTTATGAGCTCCGTGGTCCGCATCATTTTCCTGTAAATAAAAGAAGTTCACAAAAAGGAGATAATGAAAAAAATCACAAAATTAAGGAGAACACACGTTCTTCTCCTTGAAGTAGAACTAAAATTACGGAATGTCTCACGGTGACAGCAATAACAAGAGGAAAAGGAAAAACGCAAAAATAAGGTGAAAGAAAAATTAAATTGGAAGAGAGGGTAAGGCAAAGCCATGAAAAACCAAGAAAGAAAATGAGAAACGGAATAGAGGTGGGCTAATGCAAAAACTAGAACAGAAAATAAAAAGAAACGGCAAAAAATATTGAACCACTTGACCAAAACAATTTCGCCGGCGGTATCGAAAAGTATCAGCTTGCAAATAAACCCATAACAATGAGTTATTTCTATGCGTATATACGCCTAAGGATAGCGGAATTTCAGCAGATGTACGAAGAGGTTTAGTTCTGCCCTAAACAATTATATGGGTTTGCATCCATGCACTGAAGTGCCAAAATACCATGTAGCCGAGACCTGCTTGAATGGTCCCCTACGGAACTAAAAGCAAGTGGGCGATGCCCTACGCCATGAAATCCAGGAAATTACAGGAAACTGATAAATGACTTCAATGCAGTACCTGAGAATAAAGTAAGTAAGGACTTTAAGAGGCCGACGTTTCGAATAACTCAAACACGCTCGCTGTAAGAAACAGAAAAGCAGTGCTATATGTAAAAGGTTCAAAGAAAATACTACTGATATATTGGTAATAGTAGTTAAACTAACTCAGAATGCAAAACAGAAGTCAGAATCTACAGCAGAATTATACAGTAGTATTACTCGTTAAAATAGCATAAATTATGCTCGAAACTGAAACATTCTCTGATTCCCTAATTAGCGACATAGTAATCCTCTTCTACTGTTTTCGAAATCCTCAGAAATAGTCAAACGATATCTGGTTTAACGTACGTCACATGACAGGTCCTTGATCAACTTCTGGACCGTGCAGTCCTTAACTGACATGGTATTTCTGATGTAACAGTCTTCGTAACGCGAAACCAAGCAATTCCTGACGGCGACGGTAATCACTAAATATAAAACGGTCATCGATCACCATATCCACAAGGTAATCGTCAGCTGCGCATATCTTCAGCTTTCAGCAGTCAGTACCTAGCCTCAGTATCTGCCGTAGGATGGACCCAGCCGGCATGTTCTTCTCCTGTTCGAGATCAGCGAAACTGCAGGCCGTGCCAAAAACAATTACATCAGCCAGGTTCGCGAACCGGATCAAAAAGCGCACGGCCACCGTAACCGGAAGTCCTTGCTGGATCGAGTCGACGATTCCCAGGTCGCTCTGAAAATTCTTTCCATGACAAAAACCACTTACGTGTTCTCTCGTCTACTACAAAAAGTATGGAAAACGTACATTAGGAGACGTCGCTGCAGCAAGAAGGGGCAGCAAGCCTCCACAGGCCATGATCAGATTATCGACTGATTGCGAAATCATGTGGACGGTGTTGATGACGAAAACCGAGTTTTCACTGCTGTTCACATGGTCAACCACAAGCCTGCAACCGTCGCTGAAACAAAGTATCAGTGAAACGTTTGCGCAACGTACCAAAAGAAGCGATTTAAAAAACAGACAAGCGTTCAAAATACAGCCTTCAAATAATCAGCGACATACTTGCCAGCACTGCATGCTATAACCGAATAACCGTTGCTGCTTTAACATTCCATGTACCATGGATGGTGGTCAGTTTAATAATCTATTAAACATCATGGGACAAAACGCACTGTGCAAAAGTGCAGTTCAGAAGTTGAGGTCTTAGTAAGCTATTAACTGTTAAACACTGCCTAAACAAGTTCTCGGTTTCACTTGTCATTACGTCAGAGTTTGGAAATACAGTTTGACAGAATAACTCCAAACTGACGTTGGAAATAAAACGAAATGGAAACTGTTCTCAGGTTGTCACTCAAATTAACCAAACTGCAGATAATTGTGAAAATACTACCCTTGTTACGAGAACGTGAAAGAGCGTGACAGTCAAAAGACATCAAATATATGAAACCAGTAGCATTTGTCGCCTTCGGAATGCAGACTATCGAACTTGCCGATTGGCGGTTCGATTGATATCACTGCAGAATGATCCAAACTTAAAGTTAAGGAACTCCAAAAACAGCGAACCATTGAACGAATCATGAAGGAAGGAATGAAAAAATATGTAAAAAAAGAAAGAGCGAATGAATATACAAATTTTTAAATAAGTTAACCAATTAATGACTGAAAGATCAAGGAAGAAAGTCAACGATGAAAAAAGAATGAATTCCCATGGCACAACCCACGACGTCCTCCCTGCAAATATTCAGCATGCAGTCGTCACCTCTTCCAGGTGGCGATATCCGTTTCGATGGCCAGCAGCAAGTCGGATAACAAGCGCACGTGGGCCTGCGACCAAGTGAATTCCGGAATGCGGTAGATCGGCTTCGGCTCTTCAGGCTTAAACGTCGCCTGAGCAAAACAGCGGCATGTATCCCACAATAGAGTCAATGGAACATTCGGTTACTCACCTTCCGCGCAGCTTCCTCTGCGTTAGCAACTTGATTCACCATGTCTTTGACCAACAGCGCCACTTCCATGCAGTATCCATTAGGAACCGGGCCACCACCACAACCGCCAACGCCATCCGAACCATTTGTTTGCGTAACAGGCAGCGAATCCACTTCAGCACTGACAGTGTTTTTCGCTAAACACGCACTATTTCGAAATCGCTCATAGGAAGCCTGAAAACATAAATGTTACTAACGAACAAACACTAAATCTCGCATACATTCATGATAAAGGAAAATTAGAATTTTCAGCTCTAATTAATTCATAGCTCATATAGGTAATGTTTCAATACGGAAACGAATGGCTGCTTATCTATT